GAGGGGCCAGAGCAGAGAGCCCCAGAGGGTCAGGTGGAGGTCCTGAGGGTAACACCGGTGGGAGGGGGGCCTGCAGGTCAGCACAGACGGAACTCGGAGCTGCTCCTCCCCCAGTCCGGCCAGGTGCTCATTGTTGACGGCCTCCATCCCGCTGTTAGATGGCGGGCTTTCGCGTCCAGCGGCTTGGCCTGGCCAGGGGCTTGGCCTGGGAGTGCTCCTGGGCCACGGACCCTCTCTCGCAAACCAGCTTGGCAGGGCGCCCGCCCCCAGGGCGGCGCTTTGCCCCTCGGATTCTTCGCTTGCTCCGTGCCAGCCCCGCAACTACCCTTTTCAAGCCTTCTTCGGAGACGGAGGCGCCACCGCCACGAGGACCGAGGTAACTGGCGCGATGGGGAGGCTGCCTTCTTGCGATCAGTCACATGTTCTGAAAGCCGGGGCCCCTTCGCCACCAGCTCCCCTCGCTCAAAGGTGCCCTGGCAGGGACTGGCCCAGGACGTGGCTCCCACGCGTGCTCTCCACCCTCCTGCATAGGGGAGCAAGCCCCCCTCCAAGGTGCAAGGACCCCTCCGCAGCAGTCATTATTTTGCCCACCGAAGCTTTCAATATTGCAACTCAATCCTTGATTTCCCCCCACCGGTGCTGTCCGTGGGCTGAAAGAACGGGCGTGCCCTTCCTCTGTGCGCTAACGGTAGGTCTGTGCCCGGTCCCTGATGGTCCGTGACGTCGCCCTCTCGGCTGCCCTTGGAGATTTTCGGCTGACCTCCTTGACATCGTTTCTTCCGTTTGCCGTAGGCTTCCCTCCCTGCGAGGAGGAACAGGTTTCAGAGTCTCTTCTGGCGTCCTCTTTGATCAGTCTTTCCTGTGTTTGTCACGATGCGAGCTTTGCTTGCTTGTTGTGTAGGCGGGCCTGGCGTCCTCCCACTGCGCATCCCGCCTTCTGTCCTTAGCGGTCGGCGCGTCAAATCTGTTCTTGAGAAGGTCCCCAAACTCTGCTGGGTTTTGCTTAAGGTTGCGTTTTGGCTCTCGTGGACTTGTTTCAGTGTTTTTCCAGCTTCAACCTGAATTTACATACAAGCCAGTGGTTCTCAACCTTCCGAAGGCCTCGACCCTTTCGTACAGTTCCTCATGTTGTGGTGACCCCCAACCATAAAATTGTTTTCGTTGCTACTTCATCGCTGTCATTTTGCTGCTGCTATGAATTGGGAGACCTCCCCCCAACGGGGTCGCGACCCACAGGTTGAGAACCGCTGATATGAACAATTGCTGGTCTCTTCCACAGTCAGCCCCAGGCCTGGTTTTACCGCCTGATACTGAGCTTCTCCATTCTGCCTCCCACAGATGGAGTCAATTTGATTTCTGTGTATTCCATCTGGAGAAGTCCCCATTTTGTGTTGTTGAAAAAATGTATTTACTATGAACAAGTTGTTGGTTTTTCAAAATTCTATCATGCGACCTCCAGCTTTGTTTCTATCTCCAAGATCATATTTTCCAAGTGCTGTTCCTTCTTTGTTTTGAA